CACCGCCCTGGGAGTAAGGGACACCCGGAAACACGGCGTCCCACCCAAAAACTGGGCTGCAACTGGCCAGGAGGTCAGAGGGATTGGCCAGGAGAGCCCAGACATGCAGTTGAAATGCTGTCAGGCCCTGCTGGTCCCTGAGTGGCCAGCCTCGCTCCCGTCCAGCAGGCAAGGACAGCCTGATGGAAGGAAGGAAAGCAGATCCCAGGCTCGGACCAGCCTCTACATGAGTTCAGCTCCACCCACCACACAGTTCTGCTCCAGGAGTTCCCCACCCCTTTGGGTGCTCCCTGCCTGTCTCAACTACCAGCTCACTACTGTCTCCAAAGAACAGCCAGTACAGCCAGCTCCCCATCTCAAGCTGTACTGGGCCACAAAACAAGCACCGTCATAGGCATAACAAGCATCATGCCTTGCTCAATGCAGCCTTTGTCCCCAGGTCCTGAATCCTAAAGATGCTCCAAGGCCATTGGCTCAAGCCTTTTGCTAGGAACACTTGATTACTTCTTGGGCCAGGCATCAGCCAGGCCCCAAGGTGACAGTTCAGGTGACAAGGCACAGGACTCATGTGACCTCAGATCCTTGGTGCTTCCATTGGATTCCCCAGGATGAAGGGGAACTTCCCAGGAACCTGATAAGAACACAGTACCTGAGGTGTCTCTAGTTCAAGGCCAGTTGCGCCCTGGCATGGCAACCCCCTCCTAACGGCAGCAACCAGCCGAGTCCCTGAGTGCCACCTCCTGGAGCTGCCACAGCTGCCAATGGGAGTAAGCCCATGTTGGTTGCTGGCCCATCCCAAGAGCAAGCTGTCCCTGGCCTGTTTAGGGACTTCAAGTCCTGCTCCATCCTTCTGGGGGTCCCTACTTCTGAGATCTGCCCTCTGTCCCTCTTAGAACAGCGGTTCTCAACGTTCCTAACGCCATGACCCTTTAATACAGTTCCTCACGTTGCGCTGACCCCAGCCATAGCATTATTTCCATTGCTACACAGAACTGGAATTTCACTACTGTTATGAATCAGAATGTGAGTATCTGTTTTCTTTTTTTTTTTTTAGAACTGGCCAATTCCAAGGATCGTTTCTTTTTTTTTTTTTAGATTTATTTATTTATTATGTATACATTGTTCAGCCTCCACATATGCCTGCAGGCCAGAAGAGGACACCAGATCTCATTACAGATGGTTGTGAGCCACCATGTGGTTGCTGGGAATTGAACTCAGGACCTCTGGAAGAGCAGTCAGTGCTCTTAACCTCTGAGCCATCTCTCCAGCCCCGAGTATCTGTTTTCTGATGCTCTCAGGAGACCCCTGTAAAAGGGTCGTTCAACCCATGCAAGGGTCATGACCTGCAGGTTGTGAACCACTGCTTTTGAGGCTTTGGAAGACCACGGGACTAGAATATATTGGAGGGTGGGGGTCCCCCCAAAGCAGGGCCACTTCCAAACCACCCCAACTCCCTCGGGTAAGGCCACTTTGCTCCTAAGAGGCAAGTGCCACCGTCTATCACACGATGTGAGCTACCCATCACGGTTAATGGGGCCTGGCAGCCCCGGTGTCCCTGCCCATCTATGATCTCCACCCACTCAGGCCTGTGGATCTGTCCGCTACACTGTCTACACTGCCCATTAGAGCTCCAACCGCTGAAATAATCTAGGCTGTTGCCCATCTTAACCCATGCCTGCAAAACCCGCTGCCCTTCCACCCTGCTCTCCCTGTCACCTCCCAGTGCGCCCCTGCCCCGCGCCCCGCGCCCACCTACAGCATGCTCAGCCTTTCCTAACCCCACACCTGACCTCCCAACCAAGGACCCTATGGAATGAACTGGGAAAGACTCTCGACAGGAGTTGGGTGTCAAGTATCCCAGATGCCAACGTCTCCTGTGCTTTAAGCAGTCTGTAGGCTGTTATATATAAATAAACGGCAGTCAGACGGTGCCTATATATAAATAAAGGCAGTCGCACGTCTTTAATCCCAGCACTCAGGAGACAGAGGCAGGCAGATCTCTGTGAGTTCAAGGTCAGCCTGGTCTACAGAGCAAGTTCCAGGACAGCCAGGGGTGTTACACAGAGAAACCTTGTCTCAAATATATATATATATGTGTGTGTGTGTGTGTGTGTGTGTGTGTATGTATATTATTTTATATTATATAGTTTGTATGCATATATATATACACATACATACATACATACATAGGGGGTGATAGGGGACTGGTAAGGTGACTCAGCAGATGAAGACACTTGATACCAAATCTGCCACCCATATGGTGGTCAGAGAGAACCAATATACATGACACTTCACACATGCATACATACACATACAAATACAAGTGAAAAAAAGCCCTTTAAAAAGTGTGTGTGTTTGTGTAGGTAAAGTCATCCTCCACTTAAAATCTTCTGATAGGAGCTAGAAAGATGGCTCAGTGGTCAAGAGTACTTGTTGCTCTTGTAGAAGACCTGGGTTCAGTTCCCAGCAACCACAAGGTGGTTTACAACCATCCACGACTCCAATTCCAGGGCACCAAGCACCCCTATCTGGCCCCTGTGGGTACCAGGCACATACACACACTCTTACACATAAAAATGAAAATAAAATATGAAACAGTAACAAATATCTCCAAATAAAGTACCAAGTCTCAGGACCTGGGGAAGGGACTTGGCGGCATCCCCAGCATCCAGGAGTTCAGTACTCGGGGACTTAGCTCGGGGGCATCCCCAGCATCCAGGAGGCCTAGGCTGGATCCCCCACACTGCAAAACCAAAAGCTCTCCAAGTCTTCAGGACAACATGGAAGGCCCTGCACGCCTGGCCTCATCTTCCACACTCCCCTGACGGTAGCCACACCACACTGCACACCAGCCAGCTTCCCTGCACACCAGCCAGCTTCCCTGCACACCAGCCAGCTTCGGCATGATTTCTCTTGCACCCTTGCAGAATCCGCCACCTGCCCCCTGCTGCTCTCCCCTCCACTCTTTACTTTCAAACGTTGAGCAGACATCTTTCCCATCGGGTACCACTCTTCATCCCCTTAACCTGAGCTATTTTTCTTGCTAGCATTTACCATGTAGCACATGTTTATTTGTATGTTTAAGATCTGTGTGCATGTGTGCATAAGCACATGCCTGTACACCCATGTGTGCAGATGCCAGGTGTATGTGGATGCCTATGGAAGCCAGAAGAGGACTCTGGATACCCTAGAGCTGTAGCTATGACAGATGTGAACAACACAGTGTAGTTACTTTTGCTTGTGCAAACACACAATGCCAGGAACTGAACCTGGGTTGTCCAGAAGGCAAGTGTTCTTAACTCTGAGTCATCTCTTCAGCCTACTGTGTATGTTTCCGAGATAAGAGTCTTCACGTATAACACAGACTGTCCTCACACGTGAAGTCCTCCTGCCTTTACCTCTAAATACCAGTACAGCAGATGTGAGCCCCGCATCCCATTACACAGAGTTCTTTATGGCCTTCCTTCTCTACAACTTGGCTTCCAATAGAAGTGCTCTGTCTCCTGTGTTTCCTCTAGTGCCTGAAGTTCTGCCTGCCACAGAGCATATATTCAAAAGCATACCGTCTATAGCTAGGTATACGTCTATAGCTAGGTATACCGGTACTCAGGTGGAGGCAAGAGGACCAGGAGTTCAAGGCCATCCTTGGCTACAAGAGGTCCCTTATCCAAAACAAACAAAGAGACTGGAGAGACAGGTCAGCAGTTAAAGAGTTGAAGGTTCAGTTCCCAGCATACATGGTGGGCAGCTCCCAAATGCCTGTAACTCTAACTTGTACAGGCACCCTCCTCACTCGTGTGCATGTGTGTGTGCGCACGTGTACACACACACACACACACACAACTCTGTGAAGGGTTCTCATCCTCTGACCTATCAACCTGTCCCCCTTCCACAAGCACCCCCCCTTGCCTTCCCTGGCACCCACAACCTCACCACCCATACCCCTTGTGCAAATATGCTTTAAAACACTCCTGGCTGGATGCATTCCAATGTGTGCCAATCCCCAAGCACAAATCTTGTCTCTTCCGGTCTGCGAAGCCACCGTGGCTTTCCTGCTAGGAACCACTTCTTAGCCTTGATGCTAGCCTTTCTTTGACATAGACCAGAGAAGCACAGTGGCCCAGGAGGCAGAGGCAGGTGGATCTCAGGTTCCATCCAGGCCAGCCTGGTCTACATAGCAAGTTCTAAACCAGTCAGGGCTACATAGAGAAACCATCGCTAAATAAATAAATAAATAGATAGATAGATAGATAAATAAATAAATAAAATGTAAAAGAGGCAGAGAAAGGAAGGCTAATGAGAGTTGGAGACCAGCTTGAGCTACAATGCCTGCCTGATGGCAGGCAGGCAGACAGGTTGACCAACAGCCAGGCACCAACCTGATAAACATGCCTGCCTTCACACAGCTGTGCATCTATCCACTTTTCAAGGAAGAAGAGTGGGGGAGCTGGGGTTCAAAGCCCTTCCTATCCCCAACACCATATTCCCCCACATCTTTTACCAACCAGGCTATAAACCACTTTGTTTCTACTTCCCAGAAGCCTGTTCGCTTGTACCTCCCTGCAAGTGACACGTAAGGCCTCCCCCAAGTCTCGGGGTGTTTCACTATGGGGTCCCAGTGCCTGACTCCAGTCATTCTGGCCACCTCACCCTCCTGCAGTCTTCCCGAAGCCCTCGCGCTCCTCCGGCCCCTTGCACTGCGCCTCCCAGAAGAGGCCTCGGGTCTCGGGCGCACTGAGCCTTCTCAAGCTGGCAGGGAGGTCACCGCGGGACCCCGGAGCTGTGCAACCCTTCCCGATGCCACCCCGACTCAGCGGCTCACCCCGTGCAAGTGGAAGCCCTCGCCGCCCGCCGGCTGCTCCGTGCTCGCCCCTAGCCCCATGGCTGCCCTCTCTCTCCGCTGCGTGGCTTGATCACGTGGGGCAGGCCACGCCCTCCCGGATGTCACAGCTCTTAGCAACAGGCCGGCTGCCAGGTTACCAAGGACGCGCGCGCCTCGGACTTCCGGCTGCGAGCCGGGTCGCGAGTTGGGCAGCCAGAGCTGGGAATCCCGCTCAGCCGGGCATCAGCTGAGCTGGGCTGCAGCAATGAGCAGCGACGACTCCTCCCTCATGGTGCGTGAGCGCTGGACCGCCTGTGCCCGGGCTTCTTCTGCTGCCAAGACAGCTCTGCCCTGGGCTGTCCCTCTGCTCCCTGGCCATTTCTGCTCCGGGGCCACCTCTCTGCTCTCTGACCATTTCTGCTTCCGGGCCACCTCTCTGCTCTCTGGCCATTTCTGCTCCGGGGCCACCTCTCTGCTCTCTGGCCATTTCTGCTCCCGGGCCACCTCTCTGATCCCTCATCATCTACGCTTGGCCCACCTCTGCCTGACAACACGCCCTGCTACCCTCAGGCCATCTCTACTCTTGGACACTTCCACCCCTAACCACCCCTACCCCTCTGTCCACTCCTCTGGCAGCGTCAATGAGTCGTCCCATCTTCCCCAACTCCCTAGCCAATGTATTTCTTCCTGTGTCCCCTGTACCCCCAGCCTCAAATTAGCACCCTGACCTGACCCTGTCCCCTGTGCTCCCCAAACTAAACCCATATCCATCATCCTGTCATATCCTGCTCTTAGCCTCCCTCCCAAGCCTTTCCTGTGTCCCTGCCCCGTCTCAGGAGATGCTGTGAGCTGGTACTCTCTTCTGTGCCCACCTCCCAACCCTAGTCCTAACCCAGCAAGCCAGATGTCTCCAAGGTTTCCCTATTTGATTTTATTTCCTAAGCCAGAGCCACCATGTCTGCCCTAGACACCCCTAACCTGGTTTCCCTACGTTGACTCATTTCTTTAGAACATACATTTGAGGTGCCTGGAGCTGTAGCTCAGTTCCTAGAGGATGCACCAAGCCCTGGGTTTGATTTCTACCACCATACAAAACAGGTCTGGTGGGTATGTGCTTGTAAGCCCAGCACTTGAGAGGTGAGGAAGGAGGGCCAGGAGTTCAAGGTCATCCATGGTTATGTAGCTGAGTTTGTTGCCAGTTTGTCAAAAGGAGACTCTGTCAAAACCGTCTTAAAAATCTGAGAGCACCACCCCCCCCTGCTTAAACCATCCCAACTGCTTCCTGTTTGCTGCCCTGAGATGATGTCTAGGCTTTTTCAAATGGCCCATGAGGCTTTTGCGACCCAACCACATCTATCCTCAATTCAACACCCACAAACCTTAGAGGAAGTGAGACTTCACTTTGAAATCTCAGTGTGATCTCTGTGGAGCTGTGTCTCCCTGACCTTCAGCTTCTTTAACTACGACGATGATGGACATAGAGCCCATGACAACGGTCCCTAGCTTGTCCCTGCAGCTATTCCGACATTCGTTCCAATTATTGCTCAGTACTCCTCTTCCTCCCCCTCCTACAAGCCTGAGTTGGTTTACATTGCATCTTAACCAGAATCTGTTGCCGTCTCCCAATCACCTATAAACTCTGACCTACAAAAGTTGCCCAGAGCGACTCCCAGGGCTGCAGAAGGAGAAAGCAAGGCCTGGCTGAGCCTGTCCACTGAAGAGGAGCATGGCACCTCAAGAGGGAGCAGGTCTCACCCTGCCTGGGTCAGAAAAGAGATGGGACCGAGGCTATCCCAACCATGTCTTCCTCACAGGCTTCGATCATTTACTACAGCCAGGAAAAGTACTTCCACCATGTGCAGCAGGCTGCGAGTGTGGGCTTAGAGAGGTTCAGCAATGACCCTGTACTGCAGTTCTTCAAAGCTTACGGAGTCCTGGGGGAAGGTAAGGCCTTGCGCTGACCCCGGGTACCATCCTCGCCCTTATCCTCTGGCAGCATCCAGATGCCTACGCCTTGCTACGTTCCCATGGAAACAGCCTCACGCTGACCGCAGAGTCCCGCTGATAACCAGAAACCTGTGAAGTCCGTATTCAGGTTGGATTTTGAGATCTTGGCTCACTGTACCTGCCATGAGCCTCAGTTTCCCTATCTGCAGAATGAGTTACTAGAGAGGGGGCTACGTGACTGACGTCTTTTCCTCGGGCTTGGAAGCTGAGAGCTGGAACTTCGGGAAAGGAGAAATGGGAGGCTTGAATATAGGAAAGCGGGGCATAGATGTGAGAGGGCGGGACTTAAACAGAGCCCAGGCGCTGAGACCTGTCTGAGCAGCCTGTGGCCAATGTTGGGGACATTCAGGATAAATGGAACTGAGAATGTTCTGTCCCTCTTCAGAGCTGACTCCAGCCCCCAAGAGTTCCCAGGCTCATTCTAGGGCACACCTCCGGGTTCCAAGGCTCTTAGCCGGTGGGCCAGGCACAGTGGTACACGCTTGTCCGAGTGCTTAGAGGTCTTAGAGGTAGAAGCAGGAGGATCAGGAAGTTCAATGTTATCTTAGACCACACATCAAGTCCCAAGCCACCTGACGTAGATGAGGACCTTTCTCAAAAACAAAATACAAAGTGGGGGTTAGTGACGATGGCTCACCAGTAAGGAACACTTACTAGACCCATCATTGATGGTGCACACCTTTAATCCTAAGCACTCGGGAGGCAGAGGCAGGAGGATCTCTGTGAGTTTGAGACTAGCCTGGTCTACAGAGTGAGTTGCAGGACAGCCAGGGGCTACACAGAGAAACCCTGTACCAAAACAAAACAAACAAACAAAAACCAAGCCACCTAAGGTCATCCTCTGACCTCCAATCATAGCACACGCACAGACCTCCCCTTGTCAGCCTGGACCACAGAGCCAACGGCCTTCGGAGAGCTTCACCCTCCAGGAAGTTCACGTTCTTGGGGACTTTTCAAATCAGTTTGTCCCTAGATTCTGTGTGTGAACGCAGGTAGCACTTACCTAACAGGGGTCCCCTGTTGTCTGTCCGGGACCCCAGAGCAGAACAGTGTGTAATGCTCTTTCTACAGACCATATCCACGACGCCATCAGTGAGCTGGAGAGCATCCAAAGCCACCCAGATGTGTCCCTGTGCTCTGTCATCGCTCTGCTTTATGCTCACAAGCGCTGCGACACCATTGGTGAGTGCCGCCCGCCGTGCTTGGTGGACCGGGCCCCTAGGGGAAAAGCCACTGCACAGACACAGCCCTCGGAGGGCTATTGAAGGAGGGGCATACACAGGCCACTTGGATCTGCTGTTAGGCAGCCAAAACAGACCATCCCTCATGCTCACCCCACAGGCCTCAGAGAAGACCTGATGCCTGAAACCACACAAAAGGGAGCAAGCAGAAAGCATGACAGAAGAGGTCATCCCTCCAGACCGAGCATTTGAAAGTGTCCTTCATTATTCACCAAGATACTAAGAAAGAAAGAGAGAGAGAGAGAGAAGGGAGGGAGGAAGGGGAGAGAGAGAGAGAGAAGGGAGGGAGGGAGGGAGGGAGGAAGGAGAGAGAGAGAGAGAAGGAAGGAAAGAGAGAAAGAGAGAAAGAAGAAAGGAAGGAAGGAAAGAGAGAGAGAGAAAAGAAGGAAAGAGAGAAAGAAAGGAAAGAAGGAAGGAAGGAAGAAAGAAAAGAGAGAAAGAGGAAGGAAGGAAGGAAGGAAGGAAGGAAGGAAGGAAGGAAGGAAGGAAG